AAAAAAAAAAAAACATTAATAAACAAGTATGAAGGAGAGCCGACATGAAATTCCACTGGCCCAAAGCCTGATAGTTCATAGAAGGGTTTCTCTGAGTTCAGCAAAAGCTGGGGAAAAGAATGACAACATCATTTCATTACAAAAAATGGAAATACAGTTAATATTGGGAAAACATGACAAAGTTAACACGTATCTTCTTTTTCTGTGAGTTGAAATTCTCAATGATAACACCAATGAAGAGGTTAAGGGTGAAAAAGGAGCCGAAGAGAATGAAGATGACGAAGTAGAGGTACATCAGGACGTTGTGCTCTCGCCGTGGTTGCATGTCCACCTGAAATTGAAAGAGAAACATTGTAAAACAGACGCTTCGCCTGATGCCCATAAATGAATATACTATTTTCACTTACTAGTTGGGTATTGATTTGATATAAGTATCCCATACACAACTACCATCTCACGGATATTCACAATGTATAAAACACCATCTTTGACTTGGCTGGATGTTCAGTTGACATGGAAACAGTGTCTTAAAAACGCATCCGTCAATCACATTACATGTCATTCAGCTACAACAGGAGTAGCTTTATAAATATAACAGTGCATTTACAGTTACAGTTACCCCCTGCGGGGAATCTATTCAGTGTCTAATCGGAAATTAAGGGGCAAGCTTTTTAAAGGGTCGCCGTATATTTGATCCACGGATCTGTTAGTCTGCTGTGCTGAATACGCTTTAAGTCGCATTAGCCTGCTATGGGGTCTGATTCACAAGGGCTATAGCCCGAAACTGGTCCCAACTATCAGACCCAAATTTATGTATTTATGTCCACACTAACACAAGATTAATCAATAGTAGTACAATTATATGGCATACTGCGCTTGCTATATAACAGGAGAAACAGGACTTATCTGTCAGACCAAAACCTACATTATTTTAGTGGACTACAGAAGATTCATCTTAAACTACCAGTAAGTAGGCCAAATTTGGAATCTAAAAATCTAGACCAATTCTGGCGCTACGTGCGATACTACATCCCTTCGTTCGTCCAACAGACATCTAAACAAGAACTTACATCAACTGCGTCTATGGCGTTAGTCATAATAGGCACCCACCCCTTGAATGTGGCCTGAAAGAGCAGACAAGCAAAACAACTCAAATTTTCTCCATGAATAGTTTTAGTTTTACGATTTTAACGGATTTAATATGTCATTTACGGATACAAGAGATACATTTGGATTTTTTTAATGAAAAATACAACGTAAGCTTGCTTCTACAAAATAATGTAGCACAGGGCCAATGCGTGGTGCTTAAATCTTGGTATTTCACAGCTTTAGTTAAGGCCCCTATACAAGAATGCCGGTATCATACTAATATATGTTTATATTCTGTACATGAATGGGTATGTGGAAAATATAGGATGACCTCTTTTAGAACTTTTCAGATTACAATATGTATAGTTACAGTTACTCTAAAATCTTAACGGTCGTCCTAATGTATCATCTAAAATATTTCGTTGTAACTGTATTTGAAAAAAAAAACACATTAAAATTATTTCCTGTGGTAGAGGTGATTTGTGAATACATACCACTTGCAACAGCGCAAGATATCCCACTAACGCGTTATCGAAGGTTATGCTTGGGGCCGACCACGTCAAGTTATGCGCCGAACAATTATCGCGCGTGTATATTCCCGTCCATTCAGCCACAACTATGGTGCCATTGTCCCACTTGCAGCTGTAGAATTTTCCGGCCAGTAGATTGACGCCCATGATGGAGAAAATCAACCAGAAGATCAGGCACACCATAAACACGTTGCAGATAGATGGAATGGCTCCTATTAAGGCGTTAACAACCACCTAGAATATTGTACAAAATAATGGTTAGTTTACAAAGGAACGAGTAAGACACGCGTATGCCCTCATCCAATTTTAGAAAAAAAAACATTAGTTTTAAGAAAAGCATGGTAATCGTGATGGTCCACAGGTGGCTATAGATAGCAACAATTGGCAAAAAATTACTGATTAGAAAATGATCTAAAACCGAGCCTGGATGCAGTGTTTCGATCCAATAAATAAGATGGTGTGACGATGGACATTACATGGAATAGTTTCGAAAGTTTACTGAAAATCTGTTACTAGAAGCATATCGCACCAGCCATTCGCCTCTTTACCTTTAGCATTTACATCATACGGTATGACACTTTTTTT